AAATGATGAAAGTCAAGAGGATAATGGGCAGAATCAAAGGAGATATAAAAATTATGAGTCTGGGAGGAAAAAAAAGAACAAAGAATGTAAATATGAAGGGAAAACTATGGATTAATTAGAGAAAATATTAAGTCAAACATTATCCATAACAGTACAGACTGGGAGGATAAGCTGGGCTGAAAGCCTAGGAAAACACCAGTGCAGGAAACTTCTAACGGGCCAATAATTTAAAAGATCATTTATCATTGAATTGCAGTATCAGTCAGAAAGAACCCTGTTTCTTCAAGGACTTGAGAGCTGAGAGAGAAAGCATTTGGAGACTTGAAGAAGAAAGAACTTCCAAAATCACTGAAAACTAGACTCCTCAGTCATCCTGTACAGTTATGAACTACTCACATCAGAGGTTAAGAACCCAGATGGACGACAGGCTGCCTGGGTTCAAATCCTGGCTCCAAAACAACAGTCTTAGAATCTTGAGCAAATGACCTCATCTTACTGTGACTTCATCTGTAAAATGGGCATAAAACCTGAATCTACCTCATAAACATGTTGTAAAGATTAAATGAGCCAACATATGGAAATACTGTTAAACTGGTGAGTACTAAATAACCAGCAGCTTCTTTACTTATTTTCTGCTGCTGAATGTATTGTTCCCATAACTCACTACAAAGTCACTTCCATCTTCCTCATCAAGAGGAAGGAGGAGGGTGGGATTTCCTACCCAAGGCCGAAACCTAGAAGGAGAACCCCACTTCTGTTGGCTTTTTGTTCCCTGGGTGGAGTCAGGAGGAAAACCCACCAGAGCTCAGGAGGAAACCTCTTACCATTGGTGGTCGTGCCTCTAGAACATCAAGTTGCCACTGTCGTTCCCAAGGTGCCACTGCAAGGAGCACCAGCTGACCCTGGGAGCATCAGACAAGCCGCACTTAAGGAAACAATATGCTCACAGGGTTTCCTTGGGGAAATCTGCCAGAGCATTCTACTGCCTTTATTTCAAAGGTACTGCTAGCAATCCTTAGCTGAAAACAGTTGTTGGTTGTTTTCCTTTTTTTTCAGCCAGACTTTAAGAATCATAGTTTTACTTTTCCAGCCCTCTTAAAGGCCTAGAGGTTCCTACTTCTCACACCCAATTCTATTTACCCCTCATATCATTATGCTATCTTAACTTTCCTTCTAAATACCCTGCAAAACACTGTTGTGTTTACAACTTTGCAGAACTACCACACAGGAAAATATGGTGAGTCAGTATCTACACTTCTAAGTCAAGTCAGTACTTTTATAGAATCAACATTAATGAGCTAAAACCATATACTTCCATGGACTCACTGGATTTCAATCTGCAGGACAAAATACTAATTTTAAGTGGGGGCTGGGGTTGTGGCTCAGTGGTAGAGTGCTCGCCTAGCATGCATGAGGCACTGGGTTCAATCCTCGCACCACGCGTGAGGCCCTGGGTTTGATCCTCAGCACCACATAAAAATAAAATAGAGATATTGTGTCCACCTAAAACTAAAAAAAATAGATATATTTCTTTAAAATTTTAAATGGACCAAATAATTAGGATTTCTGACAAGACACTGAAGTTTCTTAAACTTTTAAACTATAATTTAGAGGAGGAGCAATCATTGTCCCTTGATCAATTCTCATTTTTTAGCTTGTCTATGAAGACTTTCTCTAATGAATCAGGAGAAAGAACCATCAGCCAGGCCCTGTTTACTTCATCCCACGTGCCAAAGAGCAGATACCTCTGCGGAGGCTGTGAGGGGAAGACCGTCAGCAAAGGAGAAGGATGTGTCTGGGCTAACTGACAAGGTCTCTGGTTCTTTTCTCCAGATGCCCTGGACCTTCCTGACAGAAATTAGAAACTTAATTTTTGAGTTATATTGATGACATTCAAAAATAATCTTCCCAATAAATATAAGAAAGTTATATCTAGAATTTAAAAACTAAATATGTGAGCTGTTGACTTAAAAGGAAAAAAACAAAAACCCAAGACACTTTTTTATCTTACAATGTTCCCTTCCTCTGGTTTGGTATTTTTTCAAAAAATTTTTTTTAGTTGTAGATGGACACAATACCTTTATTCATTTATCTATTTTTATGTGGTGCTGAGGATAGAACCCAATGCCTCACCCGAGCAAGGCAAGCACTCTAACCACTGAGGTACAGCGCCAGTGGCCCGCCCCTAATTTTGTATTTTTACTTATTTTTCATGGGCTAGGGATTGAATCCAGGGGCATTCTACTACTCAGCTACATTCCCAGTCCTTTTTTATTCTGAGTCAGGGTCTCACTAAGTTACTGAACTTGTGATCCTCAAACTTATGCTCCTCCTGTTTCAGCCTCCTGAGAAGCTGGGATAACAGGCATGTACCACCACACCTGGCTCCTTCCTCTGATTTTGATTAATTTTGGAAATCTTTTCATGACTTCCTCAAATGTACAAAAATAGCTTTCAAAGGAAACCCAATTCAAGTGATAATTTTTATGACTGATTGGGTTTTGGCTTAAAGAATGGCATTATAATTAGAAAGCTTGGCTTAAACTAATAATTTTTTTTTCCTGAAAACATATTTCCTAAAAGTTATCCTAAATCCTACAGGTTTCAAAACAGTTACACACAAAAAAATTCTACATTTGTGATATCAATGTATACATTTCCTATATATCCAAATAATATAAAAAAACACAAAAAAGGAGAGAGGGGCTGAGGGTGTAGCTCACTAGTAGAGTGCTTGCCTGGTGTGCACAATGCTCTGGGCTTGAGCTTTGGTACTGAAAAAAATTCCCAAGATCCCTCTATTCTTTCTCAAAAAATAAATTTTAAGTCTTATCACATGTTCACTATCTCAAAAAGAAACCCTTCAAATGGTCCTGGCAGACTAGAAATTCCTACACTGTCATTGATGCACTGTTACTAAATTTAAGTGTTTCTTAAACTTGATGTGTATCAAAATTGATACATTCGGGGCTGGGGTTGTAGCTTAGTGATAGAGCACTTGCTTAGCATTTGTGAGGCACTGGGTTTGATTCTCAGCACCACATAAAAATAAACAAATAAAATAAAGGCATTCTGTCCATCTACAACTACAAAAATATTTAAAAGAAAAAAACAAGCTGAACTCTGACACTTTCAGTAAATTAATAGTTATATATTAAACATCCATTATGGATAGGGACCATAGGAGAGAAAGCACGGGAAAAAAATTAGTCAAATCCTTCATAAACATTCATTCTCAAGATGTGTGTTCTAGTGAAAACACACCACATAGATGTGTTTCTCTGGCAAGTTTCTTAATTTCTCTGAGCCTCAGTTTATCCATCTGCAAAACAGAGATAACAAAACCCATCTGTTATGGTTTGCATGTGAGGTGTCCCCCAAAAGCTCACAGTGAGACAATGCAAGAGGGTTCAGAGGGGAACTGATCGGGTTATGAGAGCCTTAAACCAATCAGCAAATTAATCCCCAATAGGATTGACTGAGTGGTAACTAGAGGCAGGTGGGGTGTGGCTGAAGGACGTGAGGCATGGCTTTGGGGTATTTATTGGTATCCAAGGGGACATCTTTCTCTCCGATTCCTGGTCATCATGTGAGCTGATTCCCTCTGCCACACTCTCTGCCATGATGTTCTGCCCTTCGTGGAGCCCCAAGGAATGGAGTCTACTCTCTATGGATTTAGACCTCTGAAACTTGTGAGCCCTCATATAAACTTTTCCTTCCCTAAAATTGTTCTGGTCAGTTCTTTTAGTCACAGAAGTGAATAAACTGACTAAAACACCATCCTATAGAGTTTTAGTGGGGACTGAATTAAATAAGACAATATAGGAAAGATGTCACTCATTAGGTTTCAATAAATGTTACTTCCTTTCCCATCAAATACTGTCAGGAAAACTATCTCATAGGTAGTAGATGCAGCACTCTACCTGGAAAGGGTCTGTCTTCGTCACCCCCACGCAGAGAAACTCCCTTATTTTCTGGCATATATTTCTTGGTAATGGGCAAGGACATCAGCCGAATGTGATGGATGAGTGAGCGCCAGGTATGAGCGCCAGAAAGCACTGGTTCTGGTGCTAATGGGCTGAAAGGTTGAATCACAAAGTAGGCAGTGAGCATGATTAATCCCAGAGTTACAAGGACCTACAAGGAAAGATTAGAAAAAGATTAATAATTGTCCCAACAACAAAATACCTTAAGCCCAAGAAAAAACACAGCCCTTTTCTGATACTTCCAGAAGAATAAATCTGCTTTCATAAACAAGCCATTTACTTTCACTTCTGAAAGCATTTAAAGTTTGAGAACTAGAAGGACCCGAAGGCTCACCAAGTCCCTATCATACAATCAGAGGTTATATCTACCACTCAAAAACATACACAAATAATTTCATTATAAACACACAGTTTTCATCTGTGATGATGAACAACATAGTCAAATTTTCCAGTAACAAAACAACAAGAGCAAAGGCCAATTTATTCATAGAAAAATCAAGTTTCAAATGGTAGAATCAGTCAACAATATGTGGGACAATGTTGAAGAGTTTGTGCTCAAAGTGATTTTATTTTTACCTTATACACAGCTATAAGGAGAGGATACTGGGGTGGCCCCCTCTGGGGTTCATTCTTTTCCAGCAGCTGTCTGATAAATTTTTCGATTGCCTTCTCTGACATGCCACATTGATGGCCTGTCTGTCTCACCAAATCAACAGTCTCTGAAAGTTTGTCATAAATGCTGAGCTCATTAGCAGCAAGATCCATGTCTTCCAATACAAAATCCCTGAGAAATAGAAAATAAATGTAAAATAAAGGTGGCTTCATTAAAGTACTCCTCCTCAAGGCTACTTCCTTTAGAGCAGTGTTTCTTCACCCTCTGAGATAAAGGACCAGCTTTATGTTATTCCCAATCTACTATAGATACTCTTATTAAACATTGTAAGAAAGATGAGACAATGTCAAACTATTACATTTATTTGTTTGTTTAAGATGGGATCTCATTATGTTTTCCAGGATAATCTTGAATTCTTGGAATCAAGTGATCCTCCTGCCTCAGCCTCCCCAGTAGCTGGAAGCATACACATGCACCACTGCACCTGGCTTTTTGCAAGTTTTTCAATGTTATTCAACTGTGGGCTAGTAACATCCTACATAGCAGCATCTCTCTCAAACAATTTCACTAGCTTTCAAACACTTTAAGGAGCACTGGTTTGGAGCATAATAAATCCCTAATGGGACCCTGAAGCACGATGACATCCAAAAAGATTTCTGAAACAAATCCCAGAAGATATCCTACTGGTCGTTTACCAAAATAAACATAAATGGAATACGGACAATGATGTTGATAAGTTATTTCTATACAATTCCACCAGGGCTGATCTTTAAGCAACACAAGAGGAGGAACTGATCTGAAAACCAAGCAAGGGTTTCAGACAACCAAAAACTATGGCATGGGAGCTGTTCACATCTTGCAGCTTCAGGCCTGTGGCATTCCATAAACAGGATTTTAGACAATATATGGCATTTCATTTGTACTTTACTTAAAAAATCTAAGGTTTTCACTAATTTCAAATTATGATTTGTATTATTTCAAAGCCAAATTGTTCAGTGGCCACACAATAAATGGTAAAACCTCTCTGTACCATTTGAAAAGTGAAATCAGATACATGTTGTGTTTCACACACTTCGTTCCCAAAGTGCTTCTAACCTCAAAAAGCTCTGACATGACACACATGCATTCTTTCAGTAAGAAGATGCTGCCACCTGTAGGGTAGCTTCAGCAGACAAAAGGAGCCTTGAAATCTCACAACCGTGGACATGCATCAGGCATCCTGTGTTCTAGCTGAGTGCCTCAAAACAACTTTGCTTTTGCTTAAAGTGTTTTATTTTAATTTTTTTTGGAGTTGTATATGAAGAGAATGCCTTTATTTTATATATTTATTTTTATGTGGTAGTGAGGATTAAATCCAGTGCCTCACACATACTAGGCAAGCACTCTGCCACTGAACTTTGTGCCTCAGCACAAAGTTCTTTTTTTTTTTCCCTCCAGACCATTTATGCCTTCATTTTAACATTTGGATAAAAGGCATTTTGGATGCTATTTAAAAATGTGTATCTTTGGCCAGGCATGCTGGCATGAGCCTGTAATCCCAGCTTCTCAGGAGGCTGAGGGAAGAGGATTGCAAATTTGAGGTCAGCCTAGACAATTTGCCTCAAAATAAAAAAATAAAAAGGGTTGGGAATGTAGCTTAGTGGAAAAGCATTTGCCTAGCATACATGAGGTCCTGGGTTCAATTCCAGGACCAAAAGAAGAAAGAGTGTATCTTCAACAAATGGTGCTGGAACCACTGGACAGCTACATGTAAAAGAATGAAATTAGATCCGTCTTTATACTATAAACAAAAATTAACTCAAAATGGATCAAAGTCCTAAATTCATAAGCCAAAACTATAAAACTCCGAGAAGAAAACATAGGGGAAACACTTCATGATATTGAATTAGATGTTGGTTTCTTAGGTATGACACCAAAAGCATACTAAGCAGCAAAAAAAAAAATAAGGGGCTGGGGATGTGGCTCAAGCGGTAGCTGGGTTCGACTCTCAGCACCAAATTCAAATAAGATAAAGATGTTGTGTCCACCGAAAACTAAAAAATAAACATTAAAAAAACTCTCTCTCTTTAAAAAAAGAAAAAATAAAAATAAACTGGATTTCAACAAAAAATTAAAAATGTCTATGCTGCAAATGATAACATCATAGAAATGAAACGGGGCTCGGGTATAGCTCAGTGCTTAACAAGTGCTTAGTATGTGTGAGGCCTTGGGTTCAATCTCCAGCACCATCAAAAGAAAAGAAAAGGAAAAGAAGAAAGTTAAAGACAACCACATATTGGAAAAAAGTATTTGTAAATCATGTATCCGATAAGGGGGTTGTATCCCGAATACGTAAGAATCCTTAAAAATCAATAATAAAAAGACAAAAAAACATAAGCAAAAGAACAGGCAAAAAACAGCAGTTTCTCCTAAAAAGATGTACAAATGGCAAATAAGTACATGAAGAAATGTTCAACATCTTTAATCATAAGAGAAATGCAGATTGAGCTGGAAGTGTGGGTCAGTGGTAAAGCACTTGCCTAGCACACACAGAGTCTGGGGTTCCATTCCCAGCACTGAAAAAAGAAAAAAGAAAAGAAAAAGAAAAAAACCCACAGAGAAATGCAGACCAAAATCATAATGGGATACCACCTCAGGATGGCTATGATAAAAAAAATCAGCTAAGTGTTGGTGAGGACATGGAGCAACAGGAACTTGCATGCAAGGCTAGATTACATGCCTGTTAGTCTATCATTAGTACAGCAATTCGGATTTAACTGGTATGGGCAGGTATGAGCATTTATTAAAGCTCTTTAATGTGCAGGCCAAGTTAAGACCTAAACCAAACGTTTAAAGGCATAAAGGGGACCAAACAGAATGGGTCTTTGAGAGGTGCTCTGCTGGAACAGGAGATACACTGATGGGTGCTGAGCTGTGACATTTCAGGCCTCCCTTTCTCTCTTGGAGCAACATGATTGTTGTTCTCTATCTTACAGATAATGACACCTTACTGAAAGAATACATGTGTACCATGTCAGTGCTTTTTCAGGTTTCTGGTATGAAATATGTGAAGTGAGTGGACAGTACACTGTTGTAGAAATGTAAAACAATATAGCTGCTACAGAAAACAGTCGGAATTTCTCAAAAAGTTAAACACAGAATTAACATATGACCCAGCCATTCTACTCCTAGGTATACACCTGAAGAAACTGAAATATGCCCACATAAACTTGTACATGTGTGGGGCTGGGGATGTGGTTCAGGGGTAGAGCACTTGCCTGGCCTGGATTCAATCCCCAGCACCACCAAAACCAAAAAAAAAAAAAAAGAAAGAAAACTGGACACAGTGGCACATGTCTATAATCCACACACACATGTATAATCCCAGAAATTCAGAAGGCAAAGGCAGGAGGATGGCAAGTTTGAGGCCAGCCTCAGCAACTTAGTGAGATAACATTTGGATAAAAATAAAATGATAATGACAGGGGCTGAAGTTGTGGCTCAGCGGTAGAGCGTTCACCTAGCACGTGCGAGGCCCTGGGTTCGATCCTCAGCACATTTAAAAAAATAAATAAATAAATAAAAAATAAAGGTATAAAAATTTTTAAAAATGATAATGAAAATAATAATAATAGGTCTGGGGATGAAGCTCAGTGGTAAAGTATCCCTGGATTAAATCCCCAGTACCACATACACACACAAAAAAAATATTGCATGAATAGCAGCATTATTTCTAAAACAAAAGCAACCTAATGTCAATGAATGGATAAACAAAATGTGATTAAGTGGGCTGGGGCTGTAGCTCAGTGGCATAGTACTTACCTGGCATGCATGAGGCACTGGGTTCGATCCTCAGCACCACATAAGAAAAATTAAAATAAACAAATGAGGGGCTGGGGATGTGGCTCAGGCAGTAGCGAGCTCGCCTGGCATGCGTGCAGCCCGGGTTCGATCCTCAGCACCACATACAAAGATGTTGTATCCGCCGAAAACTAAAAAAATAAATATTAAAAAATTCTCTCTCTCTCTTTAAAAAAAATAAATAAAATAAAATAAACAAATGTGAAATAAAGGCATTCTGTCCATCTACAACTACCAAAAAAAAAAAAAAAAGGATTAAGTACCAATGTATGCAACACCATGGATGAAAGTTAAAAACAGTATGCTAAGTGAAAGAATACAGTCACAAAAGACCATTTATTGTACAACTACATTTATATAGAAAATAAAAAATAGGCAATCAATATAGAGAGAAACCAGGCGTGGTGGCGCATGCCTGTAATCCCAGTGGCTTTGGAAGCTGAGGCAGGAATATCTCAGAGTTCAAAGCCAGCCTCAGCAACGTGAGGCACTAAGCAACTCAGTGAGACCCTGTTTCTAAATAAAATACAAAATAGTGCTGGGGATGTGGCTCAGTGGCCAAGTGCCCCTGAGTTCAATCCCTGGTACCCCCCAAAAAGATTAATAAATAGTTGCCTAGGGGAAAATAGTGGAGAGAATGGGGAATGACTGGTAATAGGCACAGGGTTTCTTTCCAGAGTTACAAAAATGTTTCTAAACTTAAACTGCATTGATGACTACACAACTTTCTGTATATATTAAAAGTCACTGAATTATACATTTCAAATGGGTGAATTTTGTGACATATAAATTATATCTCAAAAAAGATGCCTTAAAAATGTGTACTTATAGAATTTGAATCTATCCCTATTGCAACATTTATAACACTACTATTTTCCTATGTTCTACCCCACCCATTGTCCAGCCACTAGATTCTAAGGTCTATGAAAGCAGGAAATAGCTCATGGATCCTAACTATGGTAATTGTCTGGAATAAAAAAGGTATTTGCATATACTTGTTGATAAAGATAACAAAAAAATGGGTAGATGATGGTGAAACTACTGCCAAGGATTTAGAAATCCATCTATTAAGAGTTTTTTTTTCCCCAATAGAAAGTCTCTTAATGCATATGCTTAACAACTGTCAATTGCAACTGCTAACTATTTTGTTAGATAATCACTTCAGGTTCCAATATCTTGATTTCGAGGTTGGGGGAGTAACTTATCTGAGACCATCGAGTTAGCTGTCACCTGAGCTGCAATAGGACCTCACATTCTTTTCATTAAGCTATTCTGGATTAGCAGTCAGAAGGGATGGCAAAGCATTATGAGTCATACCAACACCACCACCAATCAAAACACCCCAGAAATTAATATATATCCAATTAGTAAGTCAGGAGAAGATCTCTGGGAGATGAGATTATAGTTGATTTTTTTGGGTGCTTTTTCATATTTTCTAAACTTCCTGTATTAATTTTATAACCAAAAAAAAAACCACAGCTACTCTTAAAGAACATCACTGGGCACAAAGTGAGTCAGAGATTGACAACAGATAATTGTGGGGCTATATGTTGCTACAAAGATTCCCTCAAAAAGAGTAAAGTGATAAATCATTACAGTATTTTTCACATCTTGGTTTTGTGACCAGTGATCCCAGAGGCAACATTTTTGTTGTTGTTGTTGTTCAAACTGGGGACTTCTTCCCCCCCCCCCGCCCCCCGCCAGTGCTAGGGATTGAACTCAGAATACCACATACCCTAAGCAAGTGCTTCACCATTGAGTCATACCTCTATCATCAAACTGGAGACATTTCTGACTGTCATCCAGAAGGATGCTATTGGCATTTTGTAGGATGTGATGTTAACTGAACAACAAAATCTTTTTGTCTCTTTTATTAAAAAAAAAACAACACCACAAAATCATGGCTAAGCATCAAGCATGAGAGGACTGAATGAAATCAGCT